AAAAAAAAAAAAAAAAATCCACACCTTTTACAACACATGATTGTTAGATTTTTTAAGTTTTTGCCTATCGGATGATATATTCTTATTTACATTTTCCTTATTACTAAGGGGGTTGAGCAGCTTCTCACCTTAGTCCTTCCTCCTCTGCCCACATGAAATGCCTGTTCTTATTCTTTCCCTGTTTCCTACTGGGATATCATTTTATTTTTTTCGTTTTTCTGTTTTTAAGATGGGAGTTTTCCTCTTGTTGCCCAGGCTGGAGTGCAATGGCACGATCAAGCGATTTTCCTGCCTCAGCCTCCCAAGTAGCTGGAATTACAGGCCTTCACTACCACAAATGGCTAATTTTTGTATTTTCAGTAGAGACGGGGTTTCACCATGTTGGCCAGGCTAACCTCGAACTCCTGGCCTCAAGTGATCCACCCGCCTTGGCCTCCCAAAGTGCTGGGATTACAGGCATGAGCCACCGCGCGCAGCCACTGCCATGGATTTTTTTGTTTTTTTAAAGATAAACCTCTGGGGTTTCTGGAAAGTAAAGCGCCATGCTCCAAACAGCTCTGCTATACCTGTGTCCAAAATATTTTCATCTCTCTCTCTCTCTCCCCCAAGTGCATGCAAACACATATGGAACTGACATAGGCATCCACTGTCCCACTTCAAATTATATACACAGATGCACACGACAGAGATTCTCACAGAAACGCAATCAGCCAAGCCCAGAACCCATAGATCTAGGTCCACACTCACGCCCCTGCATACTCCCCAGAAAGATGGATCCATCGCCTACAGATAGAGACAGGCTCACCAATACCACTCAAAACCCGCAGCCCGCTGACAGCTTGCAAGCCGCCCACAGTGCCAGCCCCGTGCCAAGCATCACTAGGGGCTCTGGAATAGGCAGGGGCCTTGTTCTCACTTCCTTTGGGTTGGTTTTATTTTAGTTGTTGTGTTTGTTGTTCTTCTTAGAGTTATCACCTGCCCCTCTGTCTCCCTACCCAGCCCCCAGGCCTCCCCACCAAGCCTCCACTGCGCATGTGCCTTGCATCCCTCCCCCTCCTGGGTACCAGTAGGCGCTCCCCGGAGCTGGCGGCGGAAGAGATGGAGCCGCGTCACGGGCGCCCAGCCCCTTAAAACGCTGCTGGCTGGAGCCACCTCCCTCCCTGCAGCCCGCAGCGGGGATGGAGTAAAGGGAGACCCGTCGACCTGGCCGCGGGGATCAGCGATGGAGTTAAAGCAATCTTTGTCCACCCATCTGGAAGCCGAGAAGCCTCTGAGGCGCTATGGGGCGGTGGAGGAGACGGCATGGAAAACGGAAGGACTGGGGAGAAGTGAGTACTGGGGCGGGGGGCCGGGGACAGCTGGGGATCCGTGCGCCTGAGCGGGTGGTCGCGGGAGCCCGAGGAACGCCAGCAGACCCAGGAAAGCGCCCCCGCAGCGGGGCTGGCAGCGGAGGGGGATACGCAGCTCTGCGCAGCGACACGCTCTCCCCGCGAACAAAAGCGGGGACCCTCCTGACTGAGCCTCACTGGGAGGGTTGGGAGGTGGCCAGGCAGCTAAGGCAGGAGCCTGGGCTGGACTTAGCAGTCCCGGATCCGTCAGCTCGCAGCTGGTCCTGGAAAGTCTGGTCTCTCCCACAGCCCAGGGAGGAGGATCCTCTCTCCGCCTGGGATGCGCCAGGGCGCTGGAGACGCAGGACCGTCCTGGAAAGCGCCCACGTCCCCGGAGAGGGGGGAGTGTCCGCTGGGTTTCTGCTTGCTTTCCTCCCCACTGCGTGAGGTTTCGGGGTACACCTGAAATTCCCAGCTTTTCCTCCCCCCGCCTTCCTTGGGTCGGGGTGGAAGGCTTGCGGCGGCGAGAGGGTCAGAAGAAGATGAACCATGCACACACCGTTCTCCTTTCTCTCTTGACTCAATTAAAGTCTGCTTGGGTACAACCCCAGAAGGCAGTTTCGAAATAGACCGGCCGTATTTATTTACTGGTTCTCTCTGCGGTGTTTGGATGTCAACATTTCTAAGTAAACGAAGGATTTTTGTTTTTCATTAATAGGATACAATAGTTGAAACTCCTGTCCTCAAAGTGTAGAGGCAGCGTCAGGGGCTCCAGGGTCACTGGAGGTCCCTGCAAACCCAGGGGCTCCCCAGAGCTGCTGCTCTCACATGCCTTGCCCACCAGGCTGGGAAGGAAAGGCCCTCTCGTCCTTCTCACGGACCCTGCAGGTTCCTGCCTCGGCTCTGGGTCACTGCTCCGCGCTCTGCCCCAGCACGGATCTCTGAGCGATGTAGGGCTAAAGTATTGTGAATGTGATCTTCTTCTGTCCTCACCTGGTAGAAAATTGTGTGTGCGCTCCCTTTCTCTATACCTGTAATTATGGGTTTAGAAAATCTTCCTAGAAGGGCTCAACTGTGTTCTGATTCTGACGGGTTGAAGTTGAAATCACAGTCGAATGTCTTAGAGGTTCATCTGCTAGGATGGATGTCATAGTTCTGCCAACCTCTTTCCTTCTTTTCTTTTTCTTCCTCCCTTTTTAACCTTGATCCTTCTTTCTAGTTCATCCTTTCAAGACCCAATGACTTGGTGTTTTGGCCTAACATCAAGGCGTCAGGGCTGAGGGTCTGTTTCTTTCTTTTTTTAATTTTTAAGTGCACATGGTGGGTGTCCATATTTATGGGGTACATGAGATATTTTGATACCAGCATACAATGTTTAATAATCACATCAGGGTAAATGGGGCATCCATCACCTCAAGCATTTATCCTTTCTTAGTGTTATGAGCAATTCAACTACACTCCTTTTTTTAAAAAAAGCCCAGCTGTGTGACTAATTTTACTCTTTTAGTTTAGTTTTTGTTAGTTTGTTTGTTTTTTTGAGATGGAGTTTCGCTCTTGTCACCCAGGCTGGAGCACAATGGCACAATCTCGGCTCACTGCAACCTCCGCCTCCTGGGTTCAAGTGATTCTCCTGCCTCAGCCTCCAGAGTAGCTGAGATTACAGGTGCTCGCCACCATGCCCGGCTAACTTTTGTATTTTTAGTAGAGATGGGGTTTCACCATGTTGGCCAGGCTGGTCTCGAACTCCTGATCTCAGGTGATCTGCCTTCCTTGGCCTCCCAAAGTGCCAGGATTACAGGCGTGAGCCACCACAACCGGCCTCTTTATTTTAAAATGTACAGTACATTGTTGACTGTAGTCATCCTGTTGTGCCATCAGATACCAGATCTTATTCATTCTGTCTACCTATATTTTTGTACCCATTAACCATCTCTATGTCCCCACCTCCCAGTGCCCTCCCCAGCTTCTGGTAACCATCATTCTACTCTGTATCTCCATGAGAGTCTCCGTTTCTTACAAGCTCAAAATAATCTCAACAATGGCTGCCTTTTATTGCTAGATGACCATGTACTGAGAACTTTAAATGCATCATTTCATTTAGACCCCACGACAATGTCCTGCCGTACTAAGACTCCCCTTGCATAGATAAAAAGAACAAAACAAAACTGGGACTTGTTAGGTGATCTGACAGTTAAGTGGCAGAACCAGGATTTGAACCCACGTCTCTTGGACCACAGAGCCTGCTTTTAACATGAAGGTTTATTGCTTTTGCTGTTTCAGAAAACTTCCTAAGTCTATTGAGATGGTCGCAGAACATGCTCAGTGATTTTATAAATATGTGGCAGCCCTGTTAGTCTCTGAAGCGCACAGAGGCCTTGAAAAAATGCTGGGTCCATGCACAATAGAAGCTGTTCACACGAGTGCTGCTTTAAATCCTCACTCTGTGCCTTGCTGGCTATGTGACTTTAGGAGTATTGCTGAGCCTCACTCTGCCTTCATTTTCTGAAAATAGAGATAATAGTACCTACCTTATGGTTTTATTGTGAATACTAAATAAGATGATACATATAGAACTCAAGGTTAAGTGCTTAATACATACTGTTCACTTCCATTCTGTTACTGCACGACATTTATAGACAGAACCTGCTTTTACTCTGCAAGGAATTATGTAAATGTTGGTCAGTTCTCTAATACTGCTCTTACAGCCTTTTATATTCTTACCATTTTATGAGAAAAAATTTGAAACATGCAGGAAAATTGCAGCAAGCACCCAATTTATAGCAGTTTCAACCCTGAAATTTTTGTATTTCTGAGTCCTATGTTGCACACTGTTAAAAGTCTGGTATAAGGCCACGTGCGGTGGCTCACGCCTGTAATCCCAGCACTTTGGGAGGCCAAGGCGGGCGGATCACAAGGTCAGGAGATCGAGACCATCCTGGGTAACACGGTGAAACCCCATCTCTACTAAAAATATAAAAAATTAGCAGGCTGTGGCGGGTTGCACCTGTAGTCCCAGCTGCTGGAGAGGCTGAGGCAGGAGAATGGCGTGGACCTCGGAGGCTGAGCTTGCAGTGAGCCTAGATGGCGCCACTGCACTCCAGCCTGGGCGACAGAGTGA